GTAAAATTATGTGTTCCGGAGTTGTGCCACACCCCCTCGGCGCCAGGGGGTGTGGTTGGGGCAAAATGAGATTTTTAGTGCAATTTAATCTATGGGTAAAATTAAGTGAAATTGAGTGAAATTAAATGAAATTAAGTGAAATTAAGTGAAATTGAGTGTTTTCCCGATTTTGCCGCACCCCTTCGGCGACAGGGGGTGTGGTCGGGGCAAAATGAGATTTTTAGTGCAATTTAATCTATAGGTGAAATAGAGTAAAATTATGTGTTCCGGAGTTGTGCCACACCCCCTCGGCGCCAGGGGGTGTGGTTGGGGCAAAATGAGATTTTGAGTGCAATTTAATCTATAGGTGAAATAGAGTAAAATTATGTGTTCCGGAGTTGTGCCACACCCCCTAGGCGCCAGGGGTGTGGTTGGGGCAAAATGAGATTTTTATAAAAAATTAATCTATAGATGAAATAGAGTGAAATTAAGTGTTCCCGAGTTGTTCCACACCCCCTCGTCGCCAGGGGGTGTGGTCATGGCAAAATGAGATTTTTACAAAAAATTAATCTATAGGTGAAATAGAGTGAAATTAAGTGTTCCCGAGTTGTGGTGGGATCGTTTGGGGTGAAGTACGTCTGAAGCTACTTCCGTATGCGCGTTTGCGACGGTTTATTTATGTATTTATTTGTATTTATTTTGTATTTATTTATTTGTGTAAGACTGACGAGATTTTAATTTGTTCGTTGAAGATGAAAAGCCTGAATCCGATTGAAGGCTAAAATTTTATTTGTAGATATTTTTAAAATGAAAACTTAAATTTAAATCAAAATTCCAAAAAAAATCAAACTACAAGTTGAACCTTTCTTCAAGCTACACCAAGATTATCTAGAGAGTATATTAAAAAGGCAAGCCAAAAATTAGGAATCACATGATACTTTCCGTTGAATGTCCACTTTAAAGAAAAATATTGGAGGCAAAGTTCGATTTTTAAGTAAATGTTCAGCATCTTATTCCTCCACTGGACGAAAATCATGGTGGACTTTGAACTCTGATCCAAATAGTTTCCTACGGGCTATTCAAGAAAAAGATTAGTGATAATTCCTAATTTTTAACTTGATTTTTTGATATCATTCGTTAAGAAATCCCGATGTAGTTTGAAAAACGTTCCATTGCAAGTCAAAAAGTTTGGTTTCAGAACAACTGCGGATATTCCCATAGCAATTTACGGCATTCGTTACTTGCGTAGCATTATCTGAAATTACATATCAACCCAAATGAGCCAATTAATTAAATGGAATTTATTCTTAAGGCTGGTTAGGTTTTAAGTCAATTTTCATTACGGGTAGCGGGTAACGGGTACCCGCACGGGTACCCGTGCGGGTACGGGTAGTTGTGCTGCGGGTAGCGGGTCGGGTAACGGGTAGCATTTTCGCTACCCGCGGCAACCCTAGTTATTTGTGTAATCTGCAAAAAATAGATAATCTTGTGAACATGCTCACAACGCATGTTCATGCTCAATGGAATTAATGTGATTTGACAGTTGAAATTTTACTCGCCTAAAACCCATTCAAGGTGGTTAACCTTAAAATATTTTCTGGAAATATCTAGATTCGCTTCAGAAGTTTTTTTATGAATACTTTTGATAAATTTGATATCTTTTTCGATGATTGTTTTTTCATAAAACACATTTTTTCTTAGGTGAAGGAAAAGTAACCAAAAGGAGATCATGTTAAAAGATCACCATGGTTACGGCGAAGCCTAAGTATGCATTCAGCTGCAACTTTGAAAAGGTCGCACTGAGATGTAGCCCAAACCGTTCGTTGCATGGAAAACATGTTGAAACAAAAAAACAGAGAATTCTGTTTTACAGATACGTTTTTTTTATTTTTTCCGAAATTTTAATTCCTTAAGGTAGAAAGTCCGATGCCTAAAGTTTCAAATCCATTTCTTGGCATCAAGGAAGTGTTTCCGACCGGGGGCTTGCCATTTTTATTATTCTCCTGGATAATACGCAAATTTTAAGCCTTTGTTGGACTTAATCGGATGAAAACTCACGGAATTAGAGCTTTTTGAAATATTTCCATTAAGCAACCTATTTCCGTATGTATATTTACGTGTTAGGTTACTGGTTGCTAACGTGTGCGAAAAATGTAAGGTGTGTTTAGCATATTTGGCTGAAACAATTAGCAGCGATCAAATTGCATGAAATACAAATATTAACGCATGCATACCCTGGGAGACTAATTTAGTAGGGCCGCATACACACCCACGGCGGGACTAATTTGGTATACCAAGCGTCCACTGGGGGATTAAATAAGTATACCAAACGTCCACACCCACTGAGGTATTACTTTAGTATACCACGCATCCACCCACAGGAGAATTATCAACTTTTAAGATTTGATAATTGCATATTATTTTATGCATTTAAGTTCACAAATCACTAAAAATAATTAAATAAATAAATTTTAAAAAACAAACTTAGGTGAAGGACGCGCTTAAAATATTAAAACAAGAAGCATTACAAAATGTCATAATATCGTTTAATATTTATTAACCTTTACTTCACCGTGGGCCCAACTAATACAGGAGAAAAGCTATACTTTCAGGCATTTGGAACAATTATTCGAAATACGTAGTATTTGTATATTAAGCTTGCAAGATGTGATTGGTTATCTTTCAATAAATCGCGACACCTGTTATAGAGGAAATTTGTTCATGTTCTGGCATATTTTAGTAACTCTCCCTGTAACGGTGCACTTATTTGTTAATCAAGTCGTTAGTTTAGTTACATTTATTGTTAATTATTATGAAAAAGTTGGGCCCACTGTGAAGTAAAAGTTAATAAATATTAAACGATATTATGACATTTTGTAATGCTTCTTGTTTTAATATTTTAAGCGCGTCCTTCACCTAAGTTTGTTTTTTAAAATTTATTTATTATGACAATATTTTTATTTAAGTTAAGCTTACAATTAAAATGGGGCAGATATTAATTTTGTTCTATGTATTAGACTATGGAAAGCTAACTGGAAAGGCTCAAAAAATTTTTCGACATTGGAATTCACTTTTTATTGTAGCTACTTTGTGCACGATAAAGTTGAGATTTATGCAAATATTTAGTTATATATTTGCTTTACATAATCCCGATTTTATCCTATTTCAATTCTGCATTACATACGAGGATAAACGTTTTTAGTTCATTCATATCACAAACCACAATTAGACTATGGGCACAAATTACGTAGATAATTTAATTATCAAATTATTCCGAGTGACATCATCTTTCTCAATTTAGGAAAAATAATTGATGCGATAAAATCAATAAGCAGAATAAAAAAGGTTGTCATTTTACAGTGCGATATAGTTTCCACTTATCTTGCAAATGATCAAGTACTACATAATCTATCTAAATAATAATTAGGCAGTGACGTGTGTGTGTTCCCCTGGAACATAAGGTTAGAGCGTAATTTCACATTAATACAACATTGCAACGGTAGAAGTAGGTATGTACGCATCTCTCTCCTTAATAATAATTTGCATAACTTTGTACCAAACGTGCAGAATAAGACGACAAAATAGTGAGCGATCACTTTACATAATTTCTTCTGCATAAGTATCATCTTGCATAAAGGTTATCAATTATGTATGTAAAAACCAATTTTGCATAATCACTTGCATGCACTTTGCACAAGTGCAGTCGAATCCCACTATGAAATAGTGACCACACTCTAAACAAAGTTGAGCAAAGCTGGTTGAGTAAAATGAAGTTGATCAAATTTCGTTCAACGTTGGACAAAATTTATGCTCCTAAAGCGTAAAATTTACACAATAAAGTTGACTAAAGTAAGTTTTACTCAACATTGATCAAAATTTGACTTTTTTTCTGATCAAATATAAAATTAATCAATGTTGGGCGATAAATGAACAACAAGTTGATTAATTTTTACTCAACGTGTTGAGTAAAACCAACTCTGCCTATTTATCAGCCACACGGATGCTGTCAGTTGGTTACAGCAAGTTAAAAAAGGAGCAGAAGTAAACTGACTCCTCATTTTATAAAATTTCTTCAAATTACCGGTTGACTTTAATAAAAAGTTAAGTTCAAAGGTAAGGTGATTTTAATGTATTTTTTTGCACATTTGGTCATATTTGGCAATAAATTGAAATATTTATTTGTGCTAATTTTTTTTATAGAGAACGATGGTGGCGACAAAGTTTTTTTAGTTCCTGGAAGGTGCGGCTGGTTCGTTTGCTGAAATAATTTCATCAGTTATTTAATTAAAATCAAAACAGCTAGAGAGATTAGTGGATTAGAGTTTCGTTGGACTATCTGTCAAAATTTTAATTGTGTTTAGAATTTGTAAGTAATATCCAACTAAATTTATGAAAATTAATATTTTTGTTCATATGTACAATTTATAATTATAACATAAAATGAGTATCAATTATAATAAATAATGAGTTTTAATAAGGTAAATAATCTATTTTAATCAGCATAAAAAGCAACCTTTGATCAACCAAAGAGTAAATTTTAATCATTCAGTTGAGTAAAAATTCCACAACTTGTTGAGAAAAAGTTCCACAACGTGTTGAGTAAAAATTCCACAACTTGTTGAGCAAAAATTACTCAACCAAGTTGAGTAAAATTTAACCAACGGTTGTGTCATCCTCTTTTTTACCCAACCTTGGACAAAATTTTACACAACCTTGTAGAAATTTTCTACAACTTTCTTTAGAGTGCAGCTATACTGAGCTCATACATACAGATTTCATATTGTTTCACCGTTATAAAAAAATGATGAGCATGTCTACGTACCCGTGACAGGCTTAAATGCTAGTTACTTATATAATTGTTTACTCAACTACGAGGGATGTCGTTCTTATCAAGACAATTACAATTGAACATGAGTTTTGGCTTGAACAATACTTATCAAGCAGGCAGGTTATAACTGATTGCGTTGATCTATCAATTCTTGACATGCAAATTTATATAAAATGTGAAACAGCTTGTGGTCAATTGTCATTCTTCTTAATAAAATATTTGCTTTCACCGTAATGGATTTTAAGCTATTCAGATTATTCTTCTTGGTCGTCGCCTGTGCAACCAGGGCATCGTCACAACTTTTCGGACAAGATGACGGGATCGGGAAGACTTTGGCAGTTTGCGGGGGAACGATAGAATCCGATTCGGACAAGATTACGTATTCGGTCTTAAATCAGGGCGAAGTATGCATTTGGGTGATCCATCTCCAGACTCGGATGGGGTTCCGGTTTAACTTTTCGGAGTTCGATGTAAGCTCGGATTTTACGGATTGTCGAGATGGTGGTATCAGAATCTATGCGTTGACAAATCTCGCACCGCCGGATGAGTCACAGAGCTATGCGTAAGGTTTTTTTACTACAAAGATTACAAATTTGGTTTGGTGATTAATTTACTATCAATGATAATTATTATCATCAATTTAATGATTAAGATTGAATTAAGCATGTGGAAATTACAGTTGGTTGAGGTATTATCTCAAAAGTACAATTTATTATCTATTACGGAAGTGAGTCATCCAGTCGATTTGCATAACTTGTCATCCATACCTACATTTCATAATGGAAATGTGCCTGATTTCAAATAACGTAAAACAAGAATTTAACATGATTGGTATTTGCGCAGGCTTTGTTTTTCCTATACCATTGCACATGCAGAATACTTTAAGTGCACAAAAAATCCTTATTTGGTTATATTTATTATGGTTCCAAAATTATTTCTAAGAAATTGCAACTAGTAAAAACTAAAACGCCAAAATTCTAATATGTGGCTTTGTAATATTGAAAATCTTAAAGTTTGGTAAAGTTTGAAAATCTTAAAGTTTGGAAAATTTTACATTCAGGTATTGCAACAATCACCCCCCACCGCAAGAATTCTTTCTGGGATACAGTATCGCCGTGGTAATTTTGCACGTTGGGTCGGAAAATTCGTCGCCGGGATCCGGATTTGAACTAAACTGGTCCGGAAGTTCGGTTGATCCGCTGAGAACGAAGCACATCTCGTCCTACTCCACAGCACCGGAAGGACTTATCAAATATCCTGTAGTTGGAGCTTACCCAACCAGCGTTGCTGCAACTTGGCTGGTAAAACCTCTATCCGCCCAAAGGCCGATAAGTGTCGACCTGTCCATCAGTCAGATTGGGTTGGAGGAATGTTCTTTAGAAGGTGGGGAAGATCCGTGTGCTTGCGACTCCTTAATCTTGTATCAAATTGGAACCGCGGGATATTTAAATGAGACGAGGAGAATGTGCGAGGATGAGGCTGGAATAGACTTTTATAATTTGGAGAACAGGTTTTTACTAGCGTTGTTTACGGATTTGGAAGATTTGGCGGGTGGGGATGGATTCATGGCGATGTATTATCCAAGTCAAGACATTACAACGACCGTGTGGCAAACAACTACGCTATCAACTACAATTACCACGGAACAAACTACGACCGATGAACCAACTACTACCACTGAACGAACGACGACCGAAGAACCAACTACCACCACTGAACGAACGACGACTGAAGAACCAACTACTACCAGTGAACGAACGACGACAGAAGAACCCACTACTACCACTCAACGAACGACGACAGAAGAACCAACTACTACCAGTGAACGAACGACGACAGAAGAACCAACTACTACCACTGAACGAACGACGACAACAACTACGACCACGACCGAAGAACCAACCACTGTCGAACCAGGTACTTAATGTAGCTCAGGAATACATGTAAGCTTGATGAATTGATAGACTTTAGGCTTAATATCGTACATGGTGCTGCATGAAATTATTCACGATCCCGAAATTAGAATTCGGGACAAATCGATTTTGGTATGATATGGTATGGTATGGTTTTATTCCATCTTTCGGGCCACTTCGGACCCATAAAGGAGCGATTTAAAGATTCAGGAATTTAAGTTTAGTATATAAGACAGGTGTAGGTAATTTTTATGACATTAAGCTCTGGCTGACTTCCGTTGATTGAATTTTATAACAACTGATATGTAATAATACATTAAATTATTAAATTGGCATGCATAATAGTATTTAAATGTAAATGTTTGCTATATACATACATGTGTTTGAGTACATAATTATATAATAATAATCCATTCTATCAGTAGCTTGGAGGAGTGGTAGTAAACTCCGTTTCAAGTTACTTGAGTTCCCCGCCTAGAGTACATTAGCCGAATGAACCGAATTATCCTATTATTTTATACCAGTTATTTTTATTTTGGCGTTTAAATCATACGAAATCATACTAAATTGAATAATGTAAACGCCAAAATAAAAATAACTGGTATAAAATAATAGGATAATTCGGTTCATTCGGCTAATGTACTCTAGGCGGGGAACTCAAGTAACTTGAAACGGAGTTTAAGTGTGAGGGTAGAACAGCGATGGAGAGTAAGGAGGAGGGAGAAAAAGGGAACGCTATTGTCTCCCGAGTGGGAATTTGAAGAGAACACAACGATTTTTGAACGCGCGTACCGATGAGTTATGGATGCAAGGTTGGATGTCCCGATGGAAGTCGGACAGCTTGGCGAAAAGCCCTTTGCGAAAAAATAGCCACATAGATGTCCCATTTGTGAAAAAAGAAATCTCACCCCGTTATTTCACACCACTTTTTGAATAAGGTTTTTATAGTATAATTTGACGGTAATCCTGAAGTTTTGACACTTCAGAGTAAGACTCTTCAGTTACCCTCGTAGTGCATAATTTTCTTAATTTTATGTAAGATCTAATCCTGGGATAAGAATATACTTTAATTGTACAATTTAACGTAATCAATGGATATACATACATATTTCTAAAATATATCCACGCACACGTATATCTGACTATCAGTAGTTCTCAAGTGGGTTGAGCTTATGGTTCGGTGTAACAATTTAAATGAAATTAAAGGTTTTGGCTGCAGGCGAATTTTTTTTAATGAAAACGTCCTTTAATTATAAATTTCGACAAATAAAACGATTTCCTAAGTCAGTTCCTAAGCAATTTTGCCAGGTCAGGGTTGGAAATTACCTATTGCATAAATATCTGGGGGTTTAACTTTTTTTTAATAATAAATATCTATACATATTCCGGTTGTAGGCGGACACGCATTTTTTGGGTTTTCCAGAATATAAGTATGTTTTCCCCAGTGACGGAATGTTTAAAGAAATTTCAGCCAAAATCAGGATTTTTCAAAACGCTGTCATTCTACGAATTTTAAGCAGTTTAAAAAAATAAAGACATGTTCAGCTCACAATTACTTCTATACCATATCAATCTTAGCACTGTTCCAATTTCAATTGTGGAATTATCTAAACAATTTTGATCATACCCGTAGATTCAATATGTGGCGATGTTTTACTATCCGTGGATTACTGGAGATATATTATGTACAAACGTGAAACGTTTCATGATCCTAATGAACGTTGTACCTGGACAATTAATAACAGACGGCACACGACAATTACATTTGAACATTTGGGATACATATCTGCAAGTGGAGTCAATGTGTACATCAACACCTTCACGAACAGAGGGGTACCATTATTGACAAATGATAAAATGTAAGTCATTCGATAAGCGCATCAATTATAAAATCGGTTATTCCTGAAATTTGACTTTTTTTCTAGAAATTCTTCCGCCAACGAGTATTCTAAAACAGTGCTTGGATCCCTCGCAGTTGTGACATTTGCCACGGATGCACAGTCTAATTTTGGGGGACTATATCTACGATTCCGTTCAGGCGGGCAACCTCCTAATAATATTTCTCTTTCGTCTGTTGATAGACCTTTTGCAATAAATGGATCGGCCAGCATCCGGCATCCTTGGGGGCCTGAGGTTTATTACAGCTACGAATTTTCAAGTATCCTTGTGAACAAGTACCATCGTATGTATGACGGTGAATATCTTGAGTATTATTTCCACGAATACGCTTCAGGGTCAATGCGCGACGATTTTGCGGACGTGTATTCATTCTCGTACCAGGACGGATGGAATTATGACAGCCGGTAAGGTTAGAATGTTGCTGATATTTAGGAATGAATATAATTCACATTTTATACATAGTCTATCCACCTACCACATATTTCAACGGCGTGACATGGTTCTGGTATTGTTCATCTCGAATAATGTTTATGAGGGGACGGGATTTCAGTTACGAATTAATGCGCCTGGTACCTTCACAACGCCTGAAGTAAATACCACGACCGAACGCACTACGACGCCTGAAGAAACAACGACCACAGAACAAGCTACGACGGCTGAACCAACTACTACTACTGAACGAACTACGACCGAAGAACCAACAACTATGTACGAATTGCCAACGACCCCAGGAACAGGTAATAAGAATATCATAGCACTTCTTTGAATCAGCTCTCTTGAATTTTCTTCGAGCAGAAGTTTGAACCATCGGAAGGCCTAACTTGCAGTTTATGATTCATAATAGAATCCAGATGTGGCGAAATACTAGGATCAAGCACTGCTTGGAAATATATTTACTATAGACATACCGCACCCCATGACCCGCATGACCGTTGTACCTGGACAATTGACAACAGGCAGCACAGCACTATTACGTTCGAAAATTTGCAGGATTTACCGAGTGACGTTTATGTTTTCATCAACACCTTTACGAAGCAGGAGTATCCGTTATTGGTGAATGACAGAATGTGCGTAATGCAATAACCTTACCTTTAGCTTTTGGAGGAAAGCTTCACCGCTTGCCCAGATCTTGATGTCGTCTTGATATCTTGTATTACGAACCTTTTCTTCACTCATTGGGTAGAGATACACACCGAAAGGACATCGAGATCTGAGAAGGACAAGCGGTGAACCTTGCCTCCATAGTTTACTAAGATTTATATATTTATCCCTTATTATTATCATACCGTTATCTCTCTCCTGCATAGATACTCATCTACCGGCAACTACTCAAAAACATTTCCTGGGTCCCTCGCAATTGTTACAGTTGCGACCGGACCACAATCAAACCTTGGTGGCATATTTTTACGTTATCGGTCTGGCGGACCAGCCCAAAATATTTCGTCTTTCTCTCGTGATATAACTCGTAGCGGAATAATGTGGCCCGAGGGCATCCGATATCCTGCGAACACGGGTGATTATCCTAACAATTATACAAACAACGAGTTCTCTAGTATCCTGATAAACAATAAGTACACTGGAAATCTGGACTACGAGTACCGTGAATACAGTCCAGGATCAATGTTCGACGATTTTGTGGAGGCGTATACTTTCTCTTACCAAAATGGATGGACATACTACCAGCGGTAATTTCAAAACTGTCCCCAAGATTTTCGAATTTGACAACTGAAACTTTTATGCATTAACAGATTTACCAGAGATACGCAACTTTTCATACTAAATGAGTTGGTCTTATTCTTGTTCGTCTCGAACGATGTAAGCACTGGGAGGGGACTTGTTATATATATTGACCCGTCCATCTACACGACGACCGAAGCACCAATAATGAGCAGAAAATGATGCAGATAACCGAACTGATTTCGAGAAGTGTAAATTATACATGTATTTGAAATAAACCGCACCAAACGCACATAAAGAAGTAGCTTCAGCGTCTTATTAGAGGCGACTTTATGAATTCTATGAAGTATCGATTTTACTTTCTCATTTAACCTCATCCACTCGCATCTCAAATGCTCGCCAAAAATTCAAATTTGGCCGCAATTTCAAAAGTTTGCACCATTATACTCCCAGATAGTTGTTTATAATATCCGACGCTAATTTTTTTTTTTTTGCGAGTATTTTCGAAAATTTCCTTACTATTGGTATACCTCGAAAAAAATTAACATTTCAGAAAAAATTGAGTTTGATATTTAATATTATAAAATATCTATCTGGGAGTATTTATATTGGTGCAATATTTTCAAAATCCCGCAGGCATTGGATTTGTATGTATGTAATTGATCCCCTGCCCCGCAGGTTAAGGTTATCAGAGGGTTAGTCATAGATATGATGACTTGCCATGATGATAAGTTGCATAAATTTTCAGTTTACATAAGTATTATGTTAAAGTATGAGATTAACTTTATGACTGAAAATCTCTTACCTAACCATGATTTAATTGTTTGCACGAGTATAATGTGTGCATGACCAATAAAATATTTAGGCGGATTAAGTGATCTTACATATGTATGTACTTGTAAATGCGTCCTAAATAAACCGATGTAAATGAAATGCAGCAAAAGGGTAACACACACGGAATTGTCTTAGTGGCACGCCCATAACGTCTTTCTGCACTTTCCTGTCATTGTCTCACATCACCCCACGTCTAACTTTGTCCTGTTTTGACACCCTACCCGCGTACTTGGAACGTACACGATCCTACCTTTCAATAGACAGTTCACATGACAAATGTCATTTTTTCGACATTCGACACCCCCACACGAACGTTAAGTCGTCGCACGTCGAAATGAAGGCAATTTCTGAAATCCCCGTCCAAAACTACGTCTAAAACGATGGAAACAAAAAGTTCGACATGTCTGCCATTGGCGTCATCACCGTGGCGTCGTGACCTTACGACTTACAACGCCCATCTTCGAACTCATCCCGTCCCCAAAAATTAGAAACACATTGGCGAAAACCGGATGTCGAAATTCGAATCCGTTCTAAAGTTATCGTGGACGGACAAACATACAGACAGACAGTCGGACGGACAGACAAGACATTTAGATAATGGGGTTTTCACCCCTTAAAAATATTTATATTACACAAATTAAGGCTAAATAAATAAGTATGTATGTCATTTGGAAAAATGAGATTTCTCACCGATCCTACATATTAATGCGATACTTAAAAATCAAGTACGTGAACGCAGTCAGCGGGTAGTTTGGCACATGCACACTTCTGCTGAGGAAAATGAAGTATGCAGGACCTTTTGGTTTAAGAACAACTTGTTCTGAACAAGAATAAAACATTGAACAATATTAAACCCATCATGTTTCACACTTTATCCGCGTCATCGTGGAATTTTATCGAATTCGAGTTACTAACGGTACCACTAATCCAAAACCCGAGGCTAACCCGGACCCGGTACCACTAATCCAAAACCCGAGGCTAACCCGGACCCGGTACCACTAATCTAAAACCTGAGGCTAACCCGGACCCGGTACCACTAATCCAAAACCCGAGGCTAACCCGGACCCGGTACCACTAATCTAAGACCTGAGGCTAACCCGGACCCGGTACCACTAATCCAAAACCCGAGGCTAACCCGGACCCGAAGAACCCTAAACCCGTTTCCAGGGACCCGACCCCGAGCCGTAACTGACAGATTAAGTCGGAACCCCCACCAAAAAAAAAAACGCCCAACAAAACCCCAGGCTCGGGTTTTGTTGGGAATTTATTACAAACCACAATTTTCATTTTATTTTTAAAATTCTTATTCCTAATGGCAAACTTAATTAAAACTTGTGAGAATGTGTTGGAATCGGTAAAGGGTAAATATGTATTTGGAATAAACCGTAGATCAATGAAATAAATCCTCCTAAACTTTAGCACTGCAAAAAGTGTATTATCATTATGGGAGACATTGTCAAAATTTTGGGACTGAGTTGGAAACGAAAAGTTCTTTTATTTTGGTTCTTTTATCTATACGACCTTGATTATACTCACTGAATGGCAAATATGTTTTTAATAATATTATTTGTCAGTTGATATATATAATGTTATTACATTGTAATTTTCTGGATGTATTTGCAATGATGTCAACTTTAGATCAAACAATCATAGTTCAAACTGTGCCTATGTATAGGTGTATTTGACTTCATGTGAAATGCAACTATTTTCAGCGTTTATTTTGCTGTTTTCCAAATTTTACGATGACTTTAAACAGAACTTAGTACGAACAGAAATCAAAATTAGATAAGGTACTTATTTATTAAGTTGGGTTTTGAAAATGTTTAGTTCAATTGAAGTAAACTGCGTAAATTAAAGGCTACTCGTACATAATGTTAGACATGGCTGGAAGTTTGTTAATTCATAATAAACATCTTGCCTCCGTCAGTTTGACCCGTCGCCGTCTACCTCATCTTATGCAGCACTGTTGGCAGCCACGTGTGCTGCAGCTGCATCCAGTAACCCATTTATCGCTTGTCCAGCCCGACGGGCATAATCCCCACGTGCATCCCCAAGTTCCAGTACTCGCTCCACGACACGACTTCCGCATCTGGAAGTTAATTACAGGAAAGAGAAGTATAACACAATTGTAATGTTTATTTATATCTTTGGATCATCGCCCGAGGGAAGTTAAATTTTGCATGAATAAATTAAACACAAAAAAATAATTAGGGCATTCATTACCAGTTTGCAGTTTTGCATCGCGACATAATTTTGAAAAGCAGATTGCGAAATACAAATATACTAGCGTTGAAGATGTATAAGTTCGCAAACTATTTTTCCCCCAAAAGTTTTATACTTTGAAAACTTTGCTATGCTTTGATACGTTGAAAGGTGCGAACTCGTAATGAATACCCCCAATGTCCTATTTCTTCCGGAAATAAGAGATTCTTGTATACCTGTAAAGCTAACCGCGAGCAATGCCAGACATGCCAACAGCATGAAAATTCGGATCTTAGACATTGCTTGAAGAAATTTCAGGATTTCTTTAAATAAGGACACTTTATGAAAGATAAATAATTGCTTTGTACGATATTCCAGAAGAGTGTAATCGGCAAGGTTCCAGCTAATAATGCTGACATTAACTTGACTGACTGTGTCAATTTATAGCTGTGCAAATTATTCGCAGTTTAAATATGTAAGTGCTAATATCTGGTTTTATACTTTTCTTGGAATTCGAATTCAGTGAAATATTGATTACTTTGCGTGGTTTAATATTTGCGGAAAACACTTCGCAAATGCTATTCAATAACTGAATCGAATTAATCCTAAATGAAAAACTCGTCAATATTTTAATTGAGTTGGGAATAACAGTTGTTAATTGTTGTAAATATAGGGACGAACAGATGCACAAATTTGTCGCATTAGTTGCGCATTAGCTCCTCCAGTAATTTATACGAATGATACAACAGAATATATTTATTATCACAGTACACATGCAAATATGAAGGTGACATATGGCTGCAGAAACAGCTTTGACTTTCAACCTAGTGACTTGGAAATGGTAAGCAGGGGACAGATGGTTCTACGATACTAATTCGGTGTTTTTCGCCTGTTTTGATAATACGGATCAATAGCGTTCGAAATATTGATTAACCTTGCCTATTTCAGCCAATTCGTACGCGGAAAACTTTAGAAAAATACTAACCGGGCCTTTTTTAGCCACTCGCCCTTAGTTTTAATGAATTTTGACAATTTCGAATCATTCTCAAGGGCAGCGGCGTAGCCAAGGGGGGGACTAGGGGGGCTTGAGCCCCCCCAGAGCCCGGAAAAATAAAAATAAAATACTGGAAAATCGCTAAATATTGCAAAAAATTAAAAAAATAAGTTATATGTTAGACATTAGAGGAATTCGTTATTCCTTCGTGCCCTTAGTATTTTCTGTGTCAAAAAATAAGGTACGACAGCGAAGAGATTTTGTAAGCGTTGTAAAACTGCTAAAAAATCACGCTACAATATAAGTACGTACGTATGTATGTTAGCACCAAATGGTTTTCTCCAATTTTAATCGGACGAATTTTAAAATTGGAGTCAAATAGTTATATATCCAACAAGAAAACAAAATTATTTCTAAATTATTGGCGTCTTATTACCAACAATTAAATTAACTTCGAATTTAGTTATGAAGTACACACATATGCCACAAAAAACGCTCAATTTAGGAGCGTTTGATCATGCTCGGCTCGGTTCATCTGAGCTTAGCGAATCAAGATTTTTTCTAGTCGAGCTTGAACGACCCGAGCTTTTTCGAGTTTTTCCTGAGTCAAGCCTCTTTGGAGCTTTTTGCGAACCGTGCTTAGGCGATCCGAGCTGCTCGACGCATCTCTATTTTGAATTGTTCAGGTTATTTTACATCCTTGGAAAAATTGTTTGTATTCACGCATTACTACGAACTTTTTCCGGCGCATCCGAATTTTGGACAATTTTAATTTTTAATTAGAATTTCCCGCTTCTAAGTCCTGCATCTCAAAGCTATGGTGCTTTTAATTAGCGTTTACCTTCATTCTACTTATGGTAAAAATTAGGGCTTCCCACAAGACGGGACAGTCTTGTCTTGTCTTGACAAGACGGATAACAAGACGGCACAAGACGGAAATTTACGTCCCGCGTTTTGGCAAGCAAGACGGGACACGGGACGGGGCAAACAACATCTTGTCCTGTCTTGTCTCGGCAAGACGGACGTCTTGCGACCATTTTAATACTTTTGTCTCGGAATTTATCAAAATTGAATTTAAAAGTTGGCGCAACAACGGTGATATGTTTTTAATAAAATTCCATCGAAACGAATCATCGAATATTTTTCGAATAGCTTTATCTAATCCGTTATCATGAAATAGGACTTACAAGGAAACATACCGACGTGTCCAACGAGTTAAGGGTCGACACCTATACCAAAATGACCACAATACATGATTTATTAAACGAACTGAAGGAATTTCCGTGTAAAATTCACTTTTCGTCACGTTGTG